AGAGAGATCTAAGCCAGCCAGCTTGCACTGTCTTGCCATGTGATGCCATGGGCTGCTTTAGGACTCTGCCTGCAAGAAGGTCCTCATCATATGCAGCTCCTCCAGCCTCTGGTAGTCAGTTATAGAAACAGAAGATAGACTAAGACAGAAAAGGAAAGGAAATTCAAGCTAATAGCTATGACCTGCTGAGTTATTATCATTGTTTTCTGAGTCAGAGTCTCATTGTGCTGCCCAGAAGGGTTTTATCTCCTAGACCCGAGTCTCCCAAGTAGCTAGGACTATAGGTGCACATTGCCACCTCTGGCTTATTTATTATCACTTTTTAATTGTTAGTATATTCTTTATAGTATGAACTCCAAGAGGAGAGTTTTTGTCTACTCAATATATTTCCAGTGCATTCATGGGATAGTCAATAAATAGTGAGGAGTGAAGGATTAGGGCATACCGAATGATGTCCCCTGTAGAGGGATGAGTTATGCCAGGTCACATGTTCTATCACTAGCTGAGTGTGGTGGTGTGGGTCTGTGAGTCAGAGCCAGCACATCTGCTCTCCAGACAGCTTCTTTGCTAGAAAATCAGTGTAATAACTGGGGATAAAGATAACTTGTGGTCATAGTTCAGTTGTTTATTCACTCACCTATCTACCCACTTATTATACAAATATGTGTTGAAGGTCTACAACATAGCAGATGCTCTGCCAGGCCTTACTAAAAAGAGAAACGTGGAATGAATTTATGATTATAAATAGCAATGGTTTATAACTAAGTTTGGTTAGGTGGATAGAGATCTAGATTCCACAAACAAATGTTGCAGGTACAGTGAGAAGGAGAGTGTTGTATGGGTAGCTTAGCATAGCCTGCTTTGGTATAGGATATGCATCTTAGAACACCCTTCAGATGGAGACCTGTGAGTAATACACAGTGGCCAGTGTAGTAACTCATAGAACAGTGTGTGAGGATGGGAAGAAGGAAGGGCGATGTCAATGTTCTTATAAAACATTTTGTCGTGTGTATGTGTGTGTGTGTGTGTGTGTGTGTTTGAGACAGGGTCTCCCTGTAGCCCCAACAGGCCTGGAACTTGTTATATAGACCAGGCTGGCCTTGATCCTTGTAGAAATCTGCCTGCTTCTGCCTCTTGAGTGTGCTGGAATTAAAAATGTGTGGCACCATGTCTGGCCTTTGTCTTTTAAAAAAATTTTTCTTTATTTTTATTATATGTATATGAGTGTATTGCCTGCATGTGTGTAAGTACATCCACATTGTGCAATGTCTGCAGAGGTCAGAAGAGGGTTTCAGATCCTCTGGAACTGGAGTTATGGACAGTTGTTACTGGCCATGTGGGTGCTGGGATTTGAACCTGGATCTTCTGCAAGAACAGGCAGTGCTCTTAACTACTGAGCTATCTCTCCAGCTTTGTCTTTTTTTTTTTTCAGTGCTGGAGACTGAATCTAGGGCCTTATACTTGATAGACAAGCACTCTACCACTGAGCTAAATATCCACTCCCCTTTTCTTAGAAAATATTTTAGAAAAGGTTGAGAGGGTCACTGTACCACGTCACTCACAAGGGATATATTTATATTGTATTTGGTCTGATTACAGCATAATAGTAAAAGATTCTGAAAATTATATATAAATTACATAAATTGATAATTTTTTGAATTGTACCTATGAGTCAAAGTTATGGCTCTATTTCTGAGATACTTTCGAGATAAAGCTGCTTAAGAATAGAATGACTTGCCAATGAGATCCTCTACTAGTCATGGCCATTTTCCAAGCTTGAACAGGACAGTAAGGCCAAAGAAGGCTTTCAGGGAGGTCTAGGCATGGGATCATGAGTCAATCAATGCCATGAAATCACAGGCAAATTGTATGCCTGTGCTTGGAGTATGTAAACGTTCCTGGAGGGGGAGAAGATCCATGATATTTTTTAGATTTGTTAAAAGGTCTATGATTTAGAAAAAGGTAAAGAAGGTTGAGAGGGGCAACACAAAGGAGCCATAGTAGTTTGTTCAGGCTTATGTGGCTCCTTCAAGATTCTTGCCACTTGTGCCATTCCTGACTTGGGAATGGATATTTGGTTAAGGAAGTTACCCCATCCTTTGCTAGTGCTATCTTTTAACATCCAAGTTATGACAAATAGTTGGATATTTAACTAGCTTTGAAAGAGAGCAGAGTTCTATCTATGCCAAATTATCTAGATTATCTGGATATATATGAAAAGAAAAACACTGCTAACAGCCAGGCATGGTAGCACACGCCTTTAGTCCCAGCACTTGGGAGGCAGAGGCAGGCAGATCTCTGTGAGTTCAAGGACAGCCTGGTTTACAAAGTGAGTTTGGCCACCTGGGGCTACAGGGAGACTCTGTCTCAAAAAGACCAAAAAACAAACAAAAATAAAAACAAAACAAACCACTGTTAACATAAATAATGGCTTACTAAAACAAGGCCCCAATAATACAGTTTAATTCTCTTTCACATAGAAGTTGGGGGGAGATGGATGGCCCAGAGCTAAGCATCAGGCTCTGACAATTTTGTTCTGTCATCTTCAACACACAACTTCCAGTTACTGATCTAAGTAAGTGGCTGTAGGTTATGCCACCGCAGGAAATGGAGGGAGGGCACATAACTTTTTTCTAGTTATTGGATAGAGATAGGACACACCATTTCTGCTCAGCAGTATCCTAAATTTAGTCCATGATGTAGAAGAGAAACTGTGGGCTGGGGAGATGGCTCAGTCGGTAAAGTGGTTGCTGGGCAAGCATGAAGACTTGAGTTTGGATTCCCAGCACCTATGTAAAGCCAGATATGGCAGCTTGAGTGCCTGTGCTGAGGAGGCAGAGACAGGAGAAACCCTGGGGCTTGCTGGTCAGCCTAGCTGAATTGGTAAGTTGCAGGTTCAGTGAGAGACTCTGTATCAAAAAATAAGGCAGAGAGTGGTTGAGAAGACTCAGTGTTGACCTCTGGCCTGCACACACACAGGTGCCTGCAGATACACACACACACACACACACACACACACACACACACACGGAGACTGAATAGTGTACTTAGCAGCTGGCAACTATGTGCCCAGCTAAAGCTTCTATTTCTGTAGACATGAACAAAGGATGTAGGAGGGATCTTGAGTCATCTCTGCTACAAGCAGACCATCATTGGAGCAGACTGTGGCAGGTCCTTGAAAATAGAAACAGTATCTTGAACTTTGCTGATCATGAAGGAGTCACAGCATGTAGAGTTCAGCAATCAAGTAGACTATAGGCTAATTTACAGAATTAACCTTGGGGCTCCTCATAACTACCACTGTAAGCTGCAGAATAACTCAAGCACTTGCGGCCATAGTCCCTGTAATTACTAAAACTCCTATTTAGCTCTACCTGGCAGTCAAAAACTGGCCACAGATTACCAACTAAACCAGTGGAGCAGGGGCAGCTTCTCCCAGGTAGTTGGCAGTTTTCTGCCACTGTGCACATGGACTCTAGAGAGGAGGTAAAAGGAAAGAGGAGCTGTTTTAGAGCTAAATGAACCTGCCAGATGTTTCTGTAAGAAGCATTTGGTATCACTATCTTTGAGGGGTAGATCTTTATCCCCTCATATACTATTGGCAAGATGTGGGTCTTATTAAGCCTAAGATGGTAGGTTTTCTGATTAAGGAAATTGTTGCTCCCATAAGTTACTCCCTCTCTACACTATGCCTCTATTAGAGCCCTTGTGTGATTACAGAGCTGTTACCATAGAACTCAAGCACTCATGACCATAGGCATTCTAAGTACCAAATTTGATTAATGGGACCATAATCAAAGTGTCTAGACATGCAAAGAACTGGTGGACACCGGGTAAGAGGAGACTAGCCCCACATCTTATCAGAGGTGCTCAGTTTCTCAAATCTGGAATTCTGCCTCTATTTCTAGTCAACTAACAAATGACATTTACTCTACCTAATGCCATCAAAGTCCTTCACACATTCGTTTCCCTTAAGGCCACTGCCACCACCTGTGTCAGGCGCCATCTACTCTTAGATGTGCTTCAGCTTTCTCAGTGTGTCCTTTTCTTCTGGCCTCCGCTTTTGCCCTTCTGTAATATGCTCTCATCAGCCATATAACAGTTGCAAATTCTATATATATATATATATATAATTAGCGATGAACCTAGAAATCATTAAGCAGTTCCCATTCAGGCTTCAAAGAGTGACCAGCACCAGAAACATAAGTTTGTAATAATCTAACTTTAAACTTTCTTATCCAACATTCAAAACCAAGAAACCATAAAGACAAATGTATATATATATTTTATGTCATGAAAATAAAAATATTTCATATGTAAAAGACACTATACCTATAGTTAGCAAAAACTAAAGAATCTGAAAAATTACAAACAAAAGCTATAGGCAAGAATTATAATGTACAATATATAAGGAATATTTAAGTAAATAAGAAAAACACATCATAGAAAAACAAACATAGATGGTGTTGTCTAAAAAAAGGAAAGGAAGAGGGCTGGAGAGATGGTTCAGCAGTTAAGAGCACTGACTCCTCATATGAAGACCTGAATTCAATCCCCAGAACCTATGTAAAAAAAAGAAAACCAGGCATGGTGGCACTTACTTCTAATCCTGGCATTGGGGAGCTAAAGTCGGGTAGATCCCTGGGGCTCATTGGCCAACCAGCTTACCTACTGCGTAAGCTCTAGGCAAGTGAGAGACTCTGTCTCAAAATACAAAGTGGCTGAAACTTCAGAAATGACATCTCAGTTGACCTCTCACCTCCACATTCACATGCACCTGAACATGTATACAGAGAGAGAGAGAGAGAGAGAGAGAGAGAGAGAGAGAGAGAGAGAAAGTACAAGTGAGCATTAGAGCAAGATAAATCACAGAAAACAAATCAGAGATAAAAAAATGGTCAATAAATACATTAAAAAGTTACAAATAATTTAACTATACAATAGTAGAAATAACTTAAAAATTAGAGGATATTCATATTACAGAAAACCATAACCTATGATAAGGATTGATATGGGTTTTTATTAAATGAAAACAGCAAGAACAATTCAGCTATGATCCTATGTATAAGAATATACACACGTATACATCATACATGAAACATGTAGGAAAAAGTCAGAAAGAATCCACACCAAGCTTCTCTGTTTTTAGGAAAAGTGGTCAGATTTGTCAGGGTGTGGGGTGTGGCCTTAGTGAAGTGAGGTTTTATCTACATGTTGTTCTAGTGTTGGGAAATTGTTATATCAAGTTATACATTTTACTATTATTTGTGCAATTCTGAAAACTATTGAAAACCAGAAAATACATAGATGTCACCTAGCAAAATGCTTGGTAATAGCATTAATAGTAGTCAGAATCAACTAGAAAATAACCTCCAGGTCTTACAGAAACAGATCTGGGGTCATTTGTGTTGCCCGAAAATATCTTTGGATAATACGCAGCTTTAGAGATACCCCAACCCACCTCCCTACAGTCCTCCCACCAGATTTAGATTTCTCTCTATTTGCCTGGACCATTGATTATAAACTTAAAAGCAAAAGATATTTAGTTATTGTCTCCCTGGATCTAACATTCGGGGAGTTTCTTCAGGTGCAAATGGATTCCATGCTTGGGTTTGAGGACAGTGTGGCTGGAGAAAGCAGGAGGCCTGGTGAGGTCTGGAGCCACTTGGAAGCGGAGCAGAATCAAGGCCATGGCCACCTTTAACTCCAGCATAGCCAACTGCTGCCCGATGCAGTTCCTGAAGACAAGGAGAGAAAGTGACACTAGAAGGAAGTGTGTTTTCTCCCACTGTCTGAGGTTCTAAACATTTTTGTATATTTTCAACAGCTTCAAATTGCCCTCACCTTGAGCCAGTGGAGAATGGTAGGAAGGCACAGGGGTGTCTCTGATCAGAATTCTCCTTAGTGAATCTCAGGGGGTCAAAGACCTGAAATGAGAAGGCAGTGCCACCATTACCCCCTCAAAACAACACATTTCTTAGGTGCTACTTAGTGCTGATCAACAGAGATATAATATATGATATGTAATTTTAAATGTGTAGCCACATTTTAGGAAGACAAAATTACATAAAATAAAAGTAATAAATAAATTTGCACTGTGCTGTGCAATGCCCGCGGAGGACAGTAGAGGGCATCAGATCCCCTGGAACTGGAGTTACAAACAGTTGTGAGCTGCCCTGTGGGTACTGGGAGTCAAACCCAGGTCCTCTGCAAGAGCAGCTAGTGCTCTTAACTGCTGAGCCATCTTTCCGGGCTCTGACAAAATTACTTCTAATAATAGATTTTATTTAACAAGTTAGGGGAATGTAGGCCAATCAGGCATAGGCCAATCAAGAAAGTAGAGCTGCTGCTTCTTCCTGACTTTTTGCAACAACTATTACAACTACTAATGGTCAACAATGGCTGGAAGAGCTGTTGCAATTGCCACAAGGGTCATAACAGCTGAAATAAAAAGGCTCCTGGTGGGAAAAAGGAGTTCACCCAAGGAAGGGTACCTTGGGTAGCACCAATGAGGGAGAAGGGGAGGGAGTCAGGAGAGGAGAGGGCCTGGAGATCCTGCAAAAGGCCTGGCCCAGGGCCCCCAGATGGAATCCTGGCTCTGGGGCCCCTCCTATCCCTAGGGAAGCTGTATGTCTACTTCAATAAAGTTTGCTGTTTTCAGTCCTCCCTCTTTCTCTCTGGTTGCTGCTTCTCCGTTCTCCAAGTCTGCTGCTCTCCTGCTCCCTGCGTCTTTCAGTCCCACTCCTGCAGGTAAGTCCCCAGGGCAGTGGCCTCTTGGCTTTTCTGGTCCACCACTTTCATTTCCCTGGCCAGCAGCTTCTGCAGTGGTAGTTTCCGCACACCCCCTGTCCAGCCCTTTCACTTTCTGGGTAAGCTGCGTCTGTGGCTCCTTTGCTCCTCCTGCTTGTTACTTACACTTTTTCTACACTTTGGTCCTCTGGCTTTCCTGGAAGTCCAATTCTTTCTTTGTCCCACAGAACACACTCAAAAGATGCCCTAGATGAGTGCTCCTTACCCTACGATCCCATAACACTATCATTCTAACATGTATTAATGTAAGTAATTAAGAAGATATATCACCTTTGGGGGGTGGCACAGTGTCTTCAATTCTGGATTACAATTCCAACTAGCCAAACAGTTCAGTGGCCACATGGACACTTACAGAGCTTGCCACCTCTGCCCCCAAACTTGTCTGCTAGCCAGACTAAGCAAGAGTGTACCCACTTATTGTGTTATGATCTTCAAAAATAGTGAATTAACTGAGGCTTGCTGCACCTCTTCTCTTTGCCTGTCCAGGTCACTTTTCCTCTCTCTCCTAGCTATTCTGAGCTCCAGAGAGCTGATCTGCATAGATTCTCTCTGGACTTGGACAGTACAAGACATTGATAGGGATCTGGAGTGACAGAAAAGAGTTTAGGGTATTTACTGTTCCCTAGATGCTCCCTGCCAGCTGTTTTAGGTTGACTGAATCTCTCTCACAGCTCCTGTCTGATGTCCTCTCCCAGATCTTTCTCTGAAGGTTCTGTAACTCTCTCTTGGGACACATCAAGTTTAAAAGAGGTAAATACTTCTGAAAGATATCTGTTCTTCTCATTTTCTTTTCCTATATTCTGCCCATATCTTTGTAAATAGTTCCTTTACAGAGTACTCAAAGCGATCAACTTGTGTGTCATTGATCTCTTGCCAGAATTCCAATTGCTCCTTCCAGTAAAAGAGAGGCCCAGCTGCCTGATTCACTCTGTTGCAGGTATCTAATGAGTGTTTGGAAGGGCTTGACAGGTAAATGATTGAAGTAAAGACCATGGCAGAACAGATTGTGGGGCTAAGGTCTTTTAGATCACAGTAAAGATAAAGGATATGAGGAGAGGACAAGGTCCTTAGTGGGCAATTTCTATCCATTTTTGGTTTTTATGTTTGTTTGTTTTGTGTCACTTGCTTTAACTGTACAGCCATTTGTGTGCTTAGCTGTCAACACAGGAATCACTCAGCATCACGCTCTGAAGCATGTCTGTGGAAGACATTCTTACCTTTGGGTTTTTCCAGACAGCAGGGTTGTGATGGAGGCCCCAGATGCTGAGAACCACAGTCATTCCTGAGGCAGGTGGGAAATAGAGCAAAGTGTGAGCTACTGTTAGACTGCTCGCCTCTAAAACTTTTCCTCTGAAAGTAAAAATCTACTTCCTCATAGAGTTGTGTGCCCATGCTGAAGCTGCCAGGGAAGGAAATGGAGAAAGGCAAGGCTTGGGTTTGGACTTTAGTTTTCAAAGCCATGATTTACTTAATTATGACAGTGTCCTAAGGAGCTATTGGTGTCAGACTAAAATGCCAACCTGTGTTTACGTTTTCTGCCACATTTGGACTAGAAGGTACTTGCTAAAGACAGTTGGGTGTGTGTGAGAACTGTAATTCCACCATGAAGAGCCAGTGGCTAATTTCTCTTGGTGCTGTTCATCCATAGGACGTGGAGAATTTTGACAAATATTCATGTGGCACATGAGAAGGAAATTCTGTGTCATTTTGTTCTCCTGGTTCTGTCAACAAAGTCACAAGGGACAGGTTGCAGGTGATGGTCACAGCTATCCCGTTGACTTGTTTCCTAGGCTAAGCATTAACAGGTCACTAAAGCAGACAAGTGAAAGGATGTTTCATGTTACTCTCCTGCCACCTACGTGCCCTGCCCAGAAACCTTTGTGCTTCAAGTACTGGGCCTCTGTGAGTTCTAGCTCTGCTATGTCACATTGGGGCTCCCTCATTGAGTATTTAAATTTTTTTTTCTTTTAGACAGAGTCTTCCTCTGCCCATAGCCTCAACTGGCCTGTAACTATGTAGACCATGCTGGCCTTGATCTCTCAGAGATCCGCCTGCCTCTGCTTCCCAAGTGCTGTGATTAAAGGTGTGTGCCACCACGCCTGTTGTAAAAGTATTTAGTGTTTTGTAAGCTACAAAGCACTGTACAAATGCTTGTTAAGATCACATTCCAAGGGGGAAAATCTAACAATGTATTTGAAGATTTTATGTAAACTGAGAGTTACATCTATGTAAGGGTGACATGATTCTGAGGCCACACACTGCCCCCTTCCCATCTCCCGTGTTAGGGTAATGGTGTTCTCCCATGAAGATTCACTTGGGTCCAAAATGCAGCTCAACAAAGATTATCTTAGACACAATGTTCCGCAATGCAAGAAACCCTGGGCTGGGGTTCTTAGAATGAGACTGGGATCTAACAGGTCTAATTGGCTATGTGGCTTGGGAAAGTGACCGAAACATACATATGATTAAGGAATTAGCCTCTGAGTTCCTTCCTTCCTTCCTTCCTTCCTTCCTTCCTTCCTTCCTTCCTTTCTTTCTTTCTTTCTTTCTTTCTTTCTTTCTTTCTTTCTTTCTTTCTTTCTTTCTTTCTTTCTTTCTTTCTTTCTTTCCTTCTTTTTTTCTTTTTTGCCTTTTTGAGCCCCAACTGGCTTGATACTCACTATGTAGATCAGGCTGACCTTGAACTCACAGAGATCTGCCTGCCTCTGCCTTCAAAGTGCTGGGATTAAAGGCGTGTGCCACCACACCCAACTCCTCTGAGTTCTTAATAGCTGCCTAAACTGGTCCAGAGGTTCCCAAAGGCTAAAATCCCACTAAACATTGTCACTTGGGGTCTCCAGGATCCCATGTTTAGGAAAAGAAGGCAAAGACCTGCAGGCAGTGATCGCCCATCTGGGAGGGTAAGGGGCTTGTTGAGTTCTCTGGAGATGGATGGGACAGGAGGAATCAAGCGGAGCATCTCCTTGATGCACATTGTGATGTAGGACATCTCACCCAGCTGGTCCCTGTGAGGACAAGGGAGGGAAGGAAAGGACTTAGACTCCTCAGTTTTTAATAGTGGTTGTTTCTTATTTGATATTTTCCTAGTAAACATCACTGTTGGGGTAAAGTGATTTTGCCCTGGGTTTATATATAGCACAGTGTTAAAATGGGATTCTTTGTCTGTGTCAACTGAAGTTCCGAAGGTAGAAGACACACAGATGCCACATGCCCTCCTCATACAGTGAGGTGCTACATGCCCTCCTCATACAGTGAGGTGCCACATGCCCTCCTCATACAGTGAGGTGCTACGTGCCCTCCTCATACAGTGAGGTGCTACGTGCCCTCCTCATACAGTGAGGTGCTACGTGCCCTCCTCATACAGTGAGGTGCTACGTGCCCTCCTCATACAGTGAGGTGCTACGTGCCCTCCTCATACAGTGAGGTGCTACGTGCCCTCCTCATACAGTGAGGTGCTACGTGCCCTCCTCATACAGTGAGGTGCTACGTGCCCTCCTCATACAGTGAGGTGCTACGTGCCCTCCTCATACAGTGAGGTGCTACGTGCCCTCCTCATACAGTGAGGTGCTACGTGCCCTCCTCATACAGTGAGGTGCTACGTGCCCTCCTCATACAGTGAGGTGCTACGTGCCCTCCTCATACAGTGAGGTGCTACGTGCCCTCCTCATACAGTGAGGTGCTACGTGCCCTCCTCATACAGTGAGGTGCTACGTGCCCTCCTCATACAGTGAGGTGCTACGTGCCCTCCTCATACAGTGAGGTGCTACGTGCCCTCCTCATACAGTGAGGTGCTACGTGCCCTCCTCATACAGTGAGGTGCTACGTGCCCTCCTCATACAGTGAGGTGCTACGTGCCCTCCTCATACAGTGAGGTGCTACGTGCCCTCCTCATACAGTGAGGTGCTACGTGCCCTCCTCATACAGTGAGGTGCTACGTGCCCTCCTCATACAGTGAGGTGCTACGTGCCCTCCTCATACAGTGAGGTGCTACGTGCCCTCCTCATACAGTGAGGTGCTACGTGCCCTCCTCATACAGTGAGGTGCTACGTGCCCTCCTCATACAGTGAGGTGCTACGTGCCCTCCTCATACAGTGAGGTGCTACGTGCCCTCCTCATACAGTGAGGTGCTACGTGCCCTCCTCATACAGTGAGGTGCTACGTGCCCTCCTCATACAGTGAGGTGCTACGTGCCCTCCTCATACAGTGAGGTGCTACGTGCCCTCCTCATACAGTGAGGTGCTACGTGCCCTCCTCATACAGTGAGGTGCTACGTGCCCTCCTCATACAGTGAGGTGCTACGTGCCCTCCTCATACAGTGAGGTGCTACGTGCCCTCCTCATACAGTGAGGTGCTACGTGCCCTCCTCATACAGTGAGGTGCTACGTGCCCTCCTCATACAGTGAGGTGCTACGTGCCCTCCTCATACAGTGAGGTGCTACGTGCCCTCCTCATACAGTGAGGTGCCACATGCCCTCCTCATACAGTCAGGTGCCACATGCCCTCCTCATACAGTGAGGTGCTAAACTGCCAGGAGAGTGTTTGCTAAGGAGATTTCTGAAATTTGCAACTCTTACCTCTTCACAAAAATCAAAACTTGTAAGTGGGCCTGCAGAGATGGCTCAGCGGTTAAGAGCACTGTCTGCTTTTGCAGAGGACCCAGGTTCAACAACCTGGGTTGACACTCTCTCTGGCCTCTTCAGGCATTGTACAACATGGGTGCACTTACATACATGCAGACAATACACTCATTAAAAAAAAAAGGGATGGAGAGATGGTTCAGTGGTTAAGAGCACTGGCTGTTCTTGCAGAAGACCTAGGTTCACTTCCCAGCACCCACATGGCGACTAACAACCATTTGTAACTCCAGTTCCAGGGGATCCGACACTTGCTTCTGACTTCTGCAGGTATTGCAGGACATGGGTGCATTTACACACATGCAGGCAATAACACTCATACACATAAAATAAAATAAAAAAGAGAAAAATAAAATTAAAAAGAATGTATAAGGATTTGCTAAGGATTGAAGACAGAGGCCAAAGAAGTTTGGGAGACAGAAAAAAATCATTTAAAGAGAATTTTTGGAATGCCGGAGTGCCACGGAGAATGGAGGAAATGCTGCTTTTTAAAGAAAGGGATGCTTACGGAGGGTCACTTAAATGATCTGACGTGCTCCCTGGAGTTTGGGGAGTACAGTGTCAATAGAAAAGTCTGTGACTCAAAACAAACAGACAGGTAGGGGAGACTAGCTGAAGGAAGGTAGGAATGCACAGACGTGTCCACTGGATCAATGAACTGACCAGAGAAGGGAGTGCCCCAGATCACCTGGAGAAAGACTGCCAAAGACCAGAGTTCTCCAGCCCCATAAATCATCATTAGAAAGTTCCAGGGAGGAAGTCTCCAAGATACCTGGAGATGTAGCTGTTGAGAGGAAGGAGGAGCACAGAATACCCACTAAATCTTTGGCATGACCACAACAGCTCCAGCTGCTTTCGCCTTTCTCCCTGGAATCATTTCTGGAAGGATCAGAGCTTCTTGGTACAGGGAGAACTGATCATTAAGAACAGGCCAACAACAATCCCCTTTCACTTTATTGGCTCCCAGGTCCAAAGAAGGACCAAGCTGGAATGGAGAGAGAGGCCCCAAGTGGCTGAGCATTTGAAGGTTTAGATATTACCGTGGGCTAGACACTGTAGTTATTGATATGACACTGGCATGTGATTTAAGTAGATGGGAATTTTATGAGTTCTCTTAAGATTTGCCTCAGAAATAAAAAGAACTTTTCCCATACAGCAAGTTTGAAGTGTGAGCAAAAAAACTTTTTTGGTCTTTTTTGACAGGATCTCCCTGTAGCCACAGTTGGCCTGGAACTCACTAGGCAGACCAGGCTGGCCTGGCTCTCACAGGGATCCGACCACCTATGCCACCTGGGTGTTGGGATTAAAGGTGTGCACCACCACGCCTGGCTAAAATGGGTTATTAATTTGCACCCTAGCTCGTCAGATGGGTTCAATAAAATTACTGTACATATTTCTTTCCCCCTCTAGGTCAGGAAACAAAAGGGCAATTGTGTCTACTTTGGGATGTACATAATTAAGAAAAATGATTTTTCTCATATTAATGATGGCCTGACAAGAAGTCAAAGAGAGAAACTGCTCTTAGCAGTGTGAGTTTATTATCTATCTAAAAGAATCATAAATTCTCAGAATGGCACTTGTAAATTTCATCAACTGAAACTATAAATACACGTTACAGAGTAAAAAAGGTGTTTCTTATACTCTTTTTGCCCTTTCATTCATTAAGAGAGAGAATGGTGGGCTGGAGTGATAGAAGTTAAGAGCACTGGCCGCTCTTGCAGAGGATCCAGGTTAGGCAGCCTACACTCATATGGATCAACAACCACCTGTAATTCCAGTTCCAGAGGATCTGATATCGTCTTCTGGCCTCTGCAAGTAATACATGCATGTGGTACATATACATATATGCAGGCTCACAAACATACACACACAATAAAAATAAAGTTTAAAAAAATCTAGAGCACTCTAGCATCCCTAGTACTGTATGTATATTGTTTATATGCTTTGCCTATCATTGTTCACCAAGAAAATGCAAACCCAAACACACCCACCCCATTGCAGTGACCAAAATTAAAGAGGGGGGGGGAGGGAGAGAGAGACTGGAGATATGGCTCAGTGGTGAAGAACACTGACCGCTCTTGCAGAGGACCTAGATTGGATTCCCAGTACCCACATGGCAGCTAACAACTGTCTGTAACTCCAGTTCCAGGGAAGTCTGACACTCTCTTTTGACCTCCATGGGCATTGAATGACATGGGTGCACTTACATACATGCAGGCGATATACTCATACACATAAAAAAATAAAAATATTAAAAAAAATAAGAATAAAAAGAGAGAAAACAGTGAGTAGATCATCTGGAATTTTGTTTTCTTACATGGTTAGGACTTAGTTATTATTTTCACATTTAAACCAAATGAAACCAAGAAAATTCAAATGTGGGTGTGGGGTGTGTAAGTAATCTACTCTTGTCAAGATAAAACACTGAATTCATTTTGGGAATAGACATAACAATCTTCCAAGTTTAATGAGTGAATGAAAAGAAAATTGATTGTCAGCAAGAAGAGAGGATAGGAGGCACTCTACTTTGATTCCTCCTCAGCAACAATTTTACAGTGAGTGCCTGATCTGACAATCTATTGCAAAACTGTAGTAGTCCAAACAGTATGGTACTTTCTCCAAAACATACACAAAACAAATGGAACAAGTAGAGAGCACATAGCTACATCAACACACATGTAACTATATTTACATATGTACTTGTGGGCAGTGAATCTTCACCAAAGGTGCTACGAGCACACAATGGGGAAAGAATGTTCAGTTCAGTACACGGTGTTTGAGAAAGTTGGGCATACACTTCAGGAAGAATAAAGCTGGACTCATCCTATATTCAAAACTCAAATCAAAACTGAATAACAAGGTGATCTCAGCACACTGCCATCGAGTGCTGGGTTCTGGCCTCCTTCTGGCACAGGGGCTGAGAAAGCAGTGGACTGCCTGAGAGCACCCAGATCCTGCCTCCACTTGGTGGTGAGCTTTCCTTAATTGCGCCATACCCATCCCCCTACCTGGGATTTTGTGAGGCTCCTCCCAAGGCCCCAGGGCAGACCTGGCTTTGGTAAGCTAAGGCTGAGATCCTAGCAGACAGCATGAGAGGATGGGCTCTGACTTCCATCACTGTAGTGGCTGTGATCTCAGCACACTGCCAGAGAGTCCCTGTTTCTGGCCTGCCTCTGGCATAGGGGCTGAGAACACAGGGGACTGCCTGAGAATGCCTGGATCCTGCCTCTATGTGGTGGTGAGCTTCTCCTAATTGTACCATACCCACTCCCCTACCTTGGATTTCATGAGACCTCTCCCAAGGTCCCAGGGAAGACCTGGCTTTGGTAAGCTAAGGCTGAGATCCTAGCAGACAGCCTGAGAGGGTGGGC